TAATACAAGTACATAATATCAACAATTTAAAGTTAATTATTGAATTACATTAATTACAACTACACATTATAATAGCAAATACAAGTGATCTTTAGGCTATAAGAATAGCAACAACAGGTAAGTTAAACACAACATCAAATCATTGTTCTTTTACTTTAGTGGAGATATACTAAGTTAATTACTCTTCTGAAAATAAAGTAAGAAACACGTTATAAATAAAAATTATTAAATAGAGAGATATAAAAATAAATTATATTAATATAATTAATATATTATAAAAAAAAGATATTGTCATGTTTACTTAATGTCATTAAAATTATCAATATAAAAAACTTTAGTTTTAAATAAGAATTGAAAGTATTGAAATTATAATTGATATAATTAATATAGTATAAATTATATTAATATAATTAATATATTTAAAATAATGTATATATAATATTCGAGACTGGATGAGACGTCTCAATAATAATCCGTGTCCTATCCTATCTCAAACCTCTTTCCTATTTCATCCCGTAAAGTTCCATCCCAATTATTTTTGTGCCGAAACAAGACCCGTCCTGATATGATCGGGATGATATCAGGCCAATCGAGATGGGTCCAAGTTGAACACCCCTAATGTTACTAACTCCCATTCTCACTATATATATATATATATATTATTTAATATAACATGTTTTGTCTATAATAACATTAATTTTTTAACCTAATATCCCTAATTAGTTATAAAATTTCCTTAACTAATTAAACAAACTCCTCCAACGAATAACTTTTATTAAAGATAATTTTGAAATTTTAAGGGATATAACAAATTTTAACTAACTTTGTTAATTTATGTAAAGTTGTTATTAGTTGCTTGTTGAAGCTTTTTTTCATTGCTCACATATATAATCCTATTAAACACAATCATGTTCGAAATATCATCGAATACTAAATGTGAATATGTCTTTTATTAAGAATTTAAAATTTAATTTATCACGTTGTGAGAGACTAGCTCTTACTTTTTAATTTTAAGCCATATGAATGTGCAACTGTTGTTGGCAACTTTGATTTGGTGTTCAACACTTCTCATTTTCTAAAATTTTCATCATTAATATTAAATAAAGTTTTCTCAAACTTTTTAGTTTGAGTTGAGATTACAACCCCAAAGAAATTAAAACTACAGCGTAAACAAGCATACCAAATATCTTTAAAAACATTTGTTTGGAGTTTGAGGCATCACCATAGATATAAATATAATTTATAACTTATCAATATTTTTTTGTTGAATTATCTATTATAAATAATAGGGGTAAATATCTTTGATGAAGCAATCAAAAGTCATGGTGCCGCCGGATTTTGACATCTGCCGTCACCACAAAACAAAATGAATTTAATGATGGTTAAGGAAATTCTGGCTTCTTTCACTATTTTCAGGTTTGCTAGCCGTGTCTCCAAATCTTTCGAAGAGACATATAATGGTTTTGAACAAATTAAAGAATACAAAAACAGTTCACACTTGACACTGACGTTCATGTTCTTTCTTAAGAGTAAAGCATGGTTGAGTTGTGGATGACACATAACAGGGATATTTCCAGCTATTTTAATACTTTCCTTCTTAACCACGGATGCCGCCCAGCATTTTTCTTTTTTAAATCCTCCAAACAAATATAAAGTTAAGAAAATAATTATCTGATCATATAATTTTTAACATAATTATAATTTAATTTTTAAATTTTAATTTGTTACTCAACTTTTATAATTTGACTCGTATGCAAAATTTTAAAATTTTAACTTACTACAATTATATCCTTATATTCTTATAGTTTTAATAATTTAAAATTTTAATTTTTAAATTTGAAAATAACTTTTGTCTTTATAAAGTGAGTTAATGATCATTTTTGCTTTTGAACCTTAAGTTTAATGTATGCAGGTAATTGAACTCAACATTTGATTATTTATGCCCTTGAACATTTCAAATGCTTGCCTCATCACCCCATTGCTAACGCACTATAACATTTGTTTTCAGTGGAGTGGGTTTTACTATTTTTTATAATAAAACATTAGATCATGGGTCACTTTTGTCTTTAAATTTTTCTCTTACGATTTGTAATTATTCTGAACTTTTGCCTTAAAGTTTGTGAATACTCTAAACTTAAGAGCAAAAATAACTCCTAACCCAATATTTTATTATAAAAAATGTGCTATAAAAAAATAATGGGATCCACTCGACTAAAAACAAACATTATAACACATTAATGATGGGTGTGCATTTCAAACATCCAAGGATAGAAATGATCCAATGTTGAGTCTAGGGTGTCCATAGATTTTAAGGGAAAAGTTTCAGAATAAAAGAGAACCTCAACTTTTATAAATTTATTTTCTATAATATAGATACAAGTATTTTAAATAGTTAAATTATAAGAATTAAGTTGCAACAAGTTAAAAATGACAATGTCATAATTAAATTAAAATTATAAAAACTGAATTGTAACAAATCTAAATTTAGAGATTGAATTATAATTGAATTAGGACTACATAGATCAAATGATAAATTTTCAAAAAATTATATGATCATTATAATTATTATATATAAATTAATAATTTTTTTGTCTATCCTTCATTTAGACAAGTATTATCTTTTAATTTTCTTCGGGCTATCATTTCATTGGAATGGGACAATAAAAGTATTACTAGGTTATACATATTGGAGAAGTGGAGGGAAAAAGAGGGAAAAAAAATGAAAAAGCCCTTAGTCCATTTCAAACTCTAGGATTTTGGGTTGAGCGGGGATATTTACTAAATGAATGGTGATGATTGGGAAAGTGGAAGGAAAAAAAAAAAGAAATGGAGGGGCTGTTGGTCTATTTTAAATGCTAAGATTTTGGAATGATTGGAGATAGAGGTCTAATATTCAAACTTCTTTTATACTTTAAAATAGATTCGGTAATTCAGATGAACTGAGCTTATTCGAGTAGGGCTCAATTCGAGTTAGATTTATTCAGATCGGGCTTAAAATATCCTATCTATTTTAAAAAACTTATATAGACAAACTTGACTCTAACACCTTCTAGCTTCAAGCTTATTCGAGCTGACCTGAATACTTGAAACTTTTTAAAAATATTTTTTTCTTTATTTTTTGAATCAATTTTAATTTTAAAAAATTTTATTAAGTATAAAATATTATTTTAACTTTAAAAAAATAAAAAATAACTTATTATCCTTATACTTAAGTAGCTCTGTTATTATTTTATTGTATTATATATAATTTATTCTTGAATGTTTTGTTTACTTGCAAATTAATGTCTTATTGTTTAAATATTGCTCTTATCATGTCATATATGAATGTTTTATATATTTAATTAAATTATATTATTTTAATTATAATTAAGTTTATCTCAATTTAATCGCAGTTAAATTACTAACTTAAAATTATTATTTCGATTAGTTCAAAATTTTTAATAACTTTTGAATAAATTTTTGAATAAATTATACTTTTCTTTTTATGAATATAAGAAAAATAGCCATCATTATATTATATAAAAAAATTATTTAATTATAAGTAAAATATTATCTTTTTGAATCATTTTTCTTTAACTTTTTATATTGTTTAACTCTTACATATAAGAAATTTTTGCTCTTATTTATTCTTAATTTTTAATCAAATTTAGCATGAACAATAACCAAGTAATTATTCAAGAATATTATTTTATTTATTATGTCTATCTAGTAGTGGAGTCAGAAATCCATGCCCGAATTTATTTTTAAAATTATTTTTATTTTTAAAATTAATTATAATTTATAAAAAAATAGAAATTTAATTTTTTTTATAAGCAAATGATGTATAGGACTCAAAACTTTTTATAAAAAAATGGATCTAAAAAATAAAAATTGATATTAATATATATTTTAAATATTATTTTGAGATGTTTTATTAATTAAAAATATGAAAATATGAAAATATAACTATTTTTATTTTTTTAAAAAAATAACTATATTAATACACTCAAATATATAGTATTTTGATATAAAATGATATAAAACTAAAAAAAATTAATTAATATTTATCATATTTTATATATTTTTTAAAATTTATTTTTTATTTAGGTATTTAGGCCAAGCCCGAACCTGATCAAGCTTGGCTCGAATTTCCTCAAGTCGCTCGGGGTTGAGCTTGCTTAAATTTTTTCAGGCTTATTTGGGCCTCCGAATAGGCCCAAACAATAAAAAATTAATATTTTTTTAGATTTGGCTTTAAATTTTTTGGATTGGTTTAGGCTGACCCCTCAAGTTTAGCCCAAATTACTGGCTCTACTTTAAAAAAATTATCATCATACTACATATAAGTAGTTAATAAACTTTTCTTATCTAATATATAAACTGAAAAAATAGTTAATTTTACAAAACATATGTTAAATAATAAAAGAAAAAATCTAACTTCAAGTCCCTGTACTTTACTCGCTTTTTACTATTAATTTTTGTATTTTTTTGATATTCTAAGCCTTTATACTTTTATTTTTTAGTATTTTAGGTCCCTCTATGAATAAAATGTAGGGACCTTTAAGTGACCTAGAATATGAAAAAAATGTAGGAAGATAAAATATTAAAAAAAATATAGGAATTAATAACAAAATGAGAATAAAGTGTAGGAACTTAAAATTATATTTTTTTAAAAAAATATATATTACCAAAGATCTTGTGCACACATTCTATTGTAGAAAAATGAGAAATATTAATATACTCCAGTTCAATCGTATGAGTCAGTTTACAAAAATCTACAGAGAATTAATTATTTTATTTATAAAAAAAAACCCTTAATATCTGATGAAAGGATATCAAGATTATGATTTTCAAATTTAAATTATTTATTAGAGATGCAGAAAGAAATTGAAATATAACAATTCTAATCATACTAGCCTTTTCCCGTGTAGCATAAGTTCAGAAAGTAAATTGACAAGGGATTGAATCTTTATCTATATCTTTATATAGTATTGTTTTCCCGTATAGTATTTACATTACAGGCCTTCGGAGATGTGGCAAGAGTTGCCGTCTACGGTGGCTCAATTACCCAAGGCCAGACATCAAACACGGAGGTTTCCCTGAAGAAGAGGACAACATTATTTTTACCCTTTATGGGCAAATGGGAAGCAGGCAACTATAATTTCCAATAATCATCGATATTTTCCCCCATTTTGCAAGTCTTTCTTCACTTAATCACATGATTTTTTCTTGTTATTCTTTAGATGGTCGGCCATAGCCTCTCAGCTTCCTGTTAGAACAGACAATGATGTGAAAAACTACTGGAACACCAAGTTGAAGAAGAAGCTAATGGCAGGAAAAGTGAACCTCAAAACAATGACAGACAGTCGCATTAATCTTCCTTCGACCCCATTACTGACTCACAATGTTCAGACTCAAAGCCAAAATTCAGATTTTCCTGCTCCTCAAAACCAGAGTTCATCTCCCAGCTCAACTCTGCCCATCCTGACCGATGCAAATTCTGGGTTTTACATTAACACTCACACCATGATCAGTTTCGATCCGACTCAATTATACAGTCCGAGTTTCATGGATATCTCAGAAATTAATAACGCAAGCTCAAGTATGATGGCCTTGTCTCAGGAAGGTTCAAGAATTTCAGATTCATCTTTGATTGCAATGGATAACAAGTGTTTGTCGCTGCCAGATCATGCCGGCGACGAAGCTACCCAAGTATTAATGAATTTTGGGTATGGATTTCCCTCTGACGTTGTGAATAATGGATTTTACTCCCAAGAGAAAATTGGTGAATTCGCTTCAATTTTCTATACTCATGAGTTGGTTGCATTCGAAATACTATTGTTTTCCTACGGTACCATTTGACTTTTTGTACTTTTTTTTTTTAAAAAAATTTATGGTTAGGGGTAGTGGGAGTTGTGGGATCTACATAGATGTAGGTCATGTGGGCAATAGTTCAAAAAAAAAAAAAGAAGTCAAAGGGTTAATAAGCATCTTTAATTTTAAACTATTATACAAATAACATTTTAAACCCTAAACTCTCTAAACATTTAAAAACTTCTCTTAACTTTTAAACTCTAAATGCCTGAAATGTCACCGTTAAGTTAGAAAAAACAATCATTACTTTTATAGTTACGCGACCCAATTATATACTGGAGTGAAACTCATTTTAACTTTTAAAAATAACGATAATTTTTTTCAACTTAACGGCAATATTTCAGGCACTTGGAATTTATAAATTGATGAGAGTTTTTACACATTTTAAGAGTTTAAAGTCCAAGATATTATTTGCACAATACTTTAATATCTAGGATGCACATTAATTCACAACTTAACATATAAAATTTTTAATATGTACTCCTCTTCAACCATAATATGTCATTTTTTAGAAACTTACCTAGTCTAAAAGTTGAGGTATTAGGTATATTTTATATATTTTTAAATTATACTCTTATTGTACGCTAAAGATGTTCATAGGCTCGATTTGGTTTGATTTTGATCAAAAACCAAACCGAGCCGAACCATTTAGTTTACTCATAATTGAAACTTGATCGATTTTTATGAAGTTTAGTTTGATTTGGTTTAATTTTTGGTTTGATTCGGTTTGGTTAAAGTCTACATCGGGTTTCAATGCACTTATTTTTTTTTCTTTTTCCATCTTCATAATGGTGTTATGTATTAAAATTAAATTTAATTCTTTTTTGCTCCTTTTTTTCACAAATAGAGATGTAAAAATATAATAAAATTTTAATGTAAGAACAATAATTAATCATAAAAATTGGTATAAATTTTTAAGATTAAAAGTATTTAATATTATGCATTTCCATTCAAGTTCTTTGAAAATATTTATCTATATATCTATATTCTAATAAATAATGAAAAACTTATTATATAAAATTTAAAACAAAATACTTCTTGTAGATAAATTAAATATTGAGGCTTTCGAGTTGTAAATGATTAAATGATAGTCATAGTATCATTATTATAATTATTTAATATTATGCATTTTCATTCAAGTCCTTTAAAAATGTTTATCTATTACTATAAAAGATTTAAAATAAAATGCTTCTTGTAGATAAATAGTTATATATTTTATAAATAAATAAGTGATATTTTTTAATCAAGTTTGGTTCAATTTTTTATACTCAAAACTGAATTTGAACCAAACTAATCAATTCCCATATCATAAAAAACTGAAGCAGGCTTGATTATTGTTCAGTTTTAATCAGTTTGAATTAGTTTGGATCGGTCATTTTGATTTGGATCAATTTTGAACACCCTTATTATACGCTCACTCTTGTTCTTATTATAGAGTGTCCCCTAGAAGAATTTGTCGGTTGTTAACATAAAGTACTTAATCAATTATTAATTATATTTTTATAATATTACTTTAATTTAAACTCATTGTTTATAAGAGAAGATGTGTTTTTTTTTTAAATTAAAGTCATTAAAATATCTCTTCCATTTCATTCCTATCCATTTTTATCAAATCAAAGAGAGAATTAATGTTCCGTGCATCCACGGGTGCAATATTTAATTGCAATGAGTGCTAGACGACAAGCCGCGAAGATTGGCACGTGGATGTGGTATTAACGAAACGTGGCTAATAAGTTGACCGATGACCGAAATTCATGACAACGAAATCATTTTTCTTTTTCTTTTTTTTTTCTTTTTCTTTTTGAAAGGAACAACTTATGAGGAAAGAAAAAAAGAAATATGTAGTTCCATCCGTTTGAAAATTGAAACTATATAGAGTGGGTTTTTTAAGAAAAAATTGTTTAATTTTATTTTTACAAAATATAAAAGTATTTATTATTATTTTTCTTTTTATACAATTATTTATTACAATAACTTGCAATTATTAAAAATAATTAGAGAGATGTTTGGCAACGTAGTCACTACTTTAATATATTAATTTTATTTCTTAATCTAATTCTTAAACTTTAAAAAGTTAATATTTTAAAACTGAAAGGTAGCACTTCCTTTATTAAAAATATAAGATATCTTTTTAAGATTGGATTATGTTTGATCGACCCTGAAAACACATTTAAAAATTTTAAATAGTATTTATTATATTAATTAAAATGGTATTTTCTATTTCACCAAAAAAAGTATTTTCTGTTAATATTCAAATAATTACACATTAATATTGAAGGAACGAATTGTAAAAAAATTGAACAAGTTAAAATTTGGAAATTGAAATTTTTTTTAAATATTAACAGGTCATATTTAAATATTGACAAGTGATTATTTTGATATATAAAGGAACTCATCCATAATTAATAAAAGAACAAGAAAATGATTGAAAAATAAATTTATAATATATATATATACATGATATATAACATAAAATTGATCACTTATCAATATTGAAGGAATAAATTATGAAAAATCCAACAAATTGGCATTTGAAAATTGACAACTTTTGTTTTTAAATAATAACAAGTCATGTTCAGATATTGATAAGTGATTGCTCATATATTAACACATCTTCCATAATAAACAAATGCCGATGAAATTTTTTTTGAAAAATAAATTTATATTATATATATATATTATTTAATATAATATTAATTACTTGTTAATATTGAATGAAAAAGTTGTTAAAAAAAATCAAATAAGCTAAGTTAGTCTTTGAAAATTGATAATTTTCTTAAATATTAACAAGCCATATGTTCAAAAATTAATAAGTGATTATTCAAGCATCAACAACAAGTCATTCAAAATTTACAATGACCAATGGTGATATTTGAATATATATATATATATATACACTCTTTTTATTTAAAACATAAGACATTTTTTAAGGAGTTAGACATTAAAAAATATAAAATATTTTTATTATTTTAAGATGTAATCATTATATTTTTTTAAAAAGTGTCCTTATTAAATAAATCACTTTATATTTATTTTAAAATAAAATATTTTATTAAATATGAATAAATATAAAAAGATAGAATTGATTCAAAAATAAATAACTATTTTATTAAGAGTAAAATTTAATTAAAAATATTTTATATTTTTTAATATAGAGAATATAGTATAAGGGCTTGCTGGTACAATACTCTCTTATATTCCGGAAAATCTCCTATTGGCCTTTTTGGTCCAACCACTTGCGGTGGTAGCCTCCTGCAAATGATCGAGCTTCGGCAGTCGATGATCGTGACAATGTTTTTCTTCCCAAAAAAAAAAAAAAAGAAATGAGCAGGGCATTTTAATAATTGACACCTAAAAGGCCAAAACATTACATTGAAATGCGTTGGGCCTACAATGTATTTTCAAAATGTTTTGGGTCTCAATAGTTAGTATGTTCCTTGGAAGGGTCCCAGTGAAATTCTCCTTCAAATAAAATAATTTAGAATAAAATAAAAAGGGCGGACTTCGGCTTCCCATCCGCACAGGCTGATGATTGATGAATGATGGTGACTACAACATCGTGATGCACGCACGCTTCTGCTTCGCTTTCTTCCAAGAGATATCCAACCAATTTACATAAAGAGAGGCCCCACCTTCTCCTTCCTAACGTTAGTGGTGGGCCCCACACCCACCGCCCACCATTTCACCTTCCTCGTCGCAGCTCCTTCCACGTCATCATACCACCTCTCCTCCAACACCAACGCAATGCAACGCAGCGCCCTTCTCCACCGTCAAAACTCCCACCCCCCACCTTTTTTTTTTTTTTAAAAAAAAAGAAAACTGTATTTGTTAAGTATATTTGTCAATTGATTGGATTTCAGATCAACTAGTTCGTTGGCAAAATAAATAAATAAAATATCTAATAATTCGACCACCATATTGCCTCATGATGAACGAATAAAGTTGTCCGGTACCATGTGTATGGTATTCATGGTTAAGTGATTGCTGCCAGTATTTCAAATTAATCATCCCTTAAAATTTTCCATACATATTAAGTAAAATATGCTCACCTCCTTTCATTTTTTTTAAATTATAAAAATATTTTTTATTTTCAAAATCTGCACATGAGTCTAGATTGTAACATTATTACTAAGAATATTTTGTTAAAAATTTTAAACACACTTTTATTAATTATGAATTTATTAATAAGATTTAAAATTATGAATATGGCATTATAATCTAATTATATAGTATCATGATTTATATATATTCATTTCGTTCCTGCATTAAAGTTATCTTCTGGAAAAAAAAATTAATGTTTCCTTCTATAAATCATTTGACATGAAAATGCAGACTATTAACTATTTTCTTTCAATTTTAACCTTTTATACAATTTTCTATAAGTGGGCAAGTGATCTCAGGTTGCCTCCCAGGGATTATCCAAATGGCGTCCAATGTGGAATTTGAGGTGACATCTAAAGTTATCATGTCAACAAACACCAAGTCATTCAAGTAAATGAATATGCAAGAGAAAATCGCTATTTAAATACAAGAGATTATCGTTCGTGTTTAAGGCTCAATTCACCAAATTGAAGCCTAAGAAATAAATATATACTCTTTTAATTTTATTTATGAATTACTTTTAATATATTTTATCAGTATTAAATTTTTTTTTAAAATTTATTAACTTTATCTTAAAATTTAATAAGTTCTTAACTTTATTTTTATTAAATATACACACTTTAATGATATATTTTTTCTTTTTAATATTTAATGAAGAGTAAAAAAATTTATAATAAAAATTTAATGATGTGACTTATAATTAAAATTAAAAAAAAATTCTTTCTCTATCCTATAAAGAGAATTACAGGGAGTATCCTTAAAGAAAACAAATTGGATCATAATCTTTCATATTTAAGCCTGAATGCATGTTGTGATGAGCCATCATTCATGAACCGGAATAATAATTCAAAACAACTTCTGAATAGTTTAAAATGCTTTATAAGAACAAAGTCAAATATGAAGTCATGAAGAGATATATTGCCAAGAGTGTGAAGTTTAAGTGTCGTGGAAGATTCTTAAAGGCAAATAGTACAACGTGAGAAGTTCAAGATTAATGATATTCGTTTGTTCATTTTAATTATATTTCAGTTTTCATTTTTAACTCTTCATTTATAAATAAAAATATTATCTGCCAAACATGCAATCTCGTCAACTAAGTGGTATATTTATATTAATTTGAACTATTGTTAGGTATTTTCAATGAAGCATTAAAAAACAGTCTGATCATTGAATTGATCAAGTTATTGATTTAAGAGTTAATAGTCAATATTAATATTGTGATTAAACTGGTTATAAATAAAATATTTTGTTAAATTGTTCAAAACATTAATTTAACAGTTTATTAGTTCAACAAGATGGGTTAACCCAGCCGAATTTTTATATTGTGATTTTTAATTAGTCTTTTAATAAGAGAAGTATCTAATTGCTTATTAATAGCCCTTTGAGCTTAATGAATCAATCAGGATTTCTTTTAACTATGGTTTTCTAAATTTTTAGTTTTATTTGTCTATAAAATGTTACCTGATATTAACTTTTTTCCTAATTAAAGAGTGGAATGAAATAGAATTTTTCAGGAAGTTGATCAATTTTTTGCTTTGTCGTTATATTTAGAGTTTTCTGATATAATGTCCTTTTGATACTAAATTTCTATATTTCACGTTTTCTGGAACTCTTTCTCTGTGGGTTCAAACTGATCTTTTTGCTAAAAAAAAAAAGGCATATATAAATGACCTAAGTTTAGGAGGGAGATTGAACTTATTACCTCCTGCTTATAGGTTACAAGACCATTGGAACTAAAAATATGTATTTTCTTAAATGATTTATTTAATAAGGAATTAAGAACAAGTTTTTTTTTCTTTTCTCTGATAATATTAAAGATTTAATTACTTTTTCTTAATTTTATTAAAATATTTTATATATAAAATCAGAAAAAAGTACTCTTAAAGATAAAAGTTTGTAAACAACGCAACTTTCTTCTCACCACTTTGTTGTCGTGTTCAAGAGCTCGCTGTAAAATATTTTAATTAAATATTTTATATAAATATATAAATAATTAAAATTAAAATTTTAATTAACTATTTTTTTAAAAATAATATAAATACAAATAGTGGTCCCTTATTTCTCGCAGCTTACTTTTACGGAATGAAAGCACTGCGGGAAAGTTGCCAATTGCGAATTGCTATCCTCACCCCTCTCACCCTATTTTATGTTTCTTGGCTTCTCCTTAAAAGAAAATAAGAAAAAAAAAGTAAAGAAATTGATAATAAAATTTCACTTTAATATAGAAACGATAATTAAGTTTTTCAAAATATTATAATTTCTTTAAAATTTTTAGATATCTTTATGACATTAATAATTTTAGTTTAAATGATTAAATTGCTCCTTATTTAAAATAAAAAAAATAAAAATGTTCACGTGAGAAGTTGTGGTTTCTTATTTAATTTTTATATTTTACATAATAAAATTTATGATTACTTAAATAAAAGTTATAATTGGTTATTTTTTAAACTTGAATTTCAATTATAAAAGAAATTTTACATGAAAAGTTATGATTTTTTGTTTAATTCTTACAATTTACATAATAAAAATTGTGATTATTCAAACACAAGTTATGATTGGTTATTTTCATAACTTGAACTTCAATAATAAAAAAATTTTATATAAAAAATTGTAATTTTTTATTCAATTTTTATAATTTATATAATAAAAATTGTGGTTGTTTAAAAAAAGTTGTAATTAATTATTTTTATAACTTAGACTTCAATAATACAATAAATTTCATGTGAAAAATTAAAATTTTTTATTCAAATTTTACGATTCACAAAATCAAAATCATGATTATTATTTAAATAAAAATTATGATTGATATTGGTTATTTTTTAAAATTTATTTATTAATTATAAAAAAATTTACATAAAAATTTATAATTTTTTATTTAATTTTTATAATTCAAAAAACAAAAATTATTGTTGCTTATATAAAACTTATGATTAAAAAATGGAGTCAGACCCATTATTTATATTTTAAATAAAGGATAATTTAATTATTTAATTTAAAATTATTAATGTTAGAAAGGTATTTAAGGATTTCACAAAAATTATAATATTTTAAGAAATTTAATTATTATTTATATATTTTGATAATATTTTATTATTATTTGTTCAATAATAGGAGTTTTGATTTATCCATTCATTCATTCCTTCGATTTTGACTCAAAAGTTGAAACAATTTAGTATTTATAATAAAATCAGTCTTTATAACTTAATAAATTGTAAGAATTAAATTGTATTGAATAAAAATTTAAATCCTAATTTGTCTGAATTTATTAAACATTTTTAGGAACAATAAAAATTTTAAAATATAATACGCTTTGACAAAAATAAAATTTAATTAATAATATTTTTTAATATTAATTTTAGTATTATATTTTTAATATTATTTTAAAAATAATTAAATGAAGGAAATTTTTAAATTTTTATTTTTATTTTTATTTTTTAATTAATAAAATTATAAATATATTTAATAAATTTTATTAATATACATAATTTTATTTAAGAGTGTCTCATGAAAGTAAGACGGAAATAGTACTCTCCCTTGAAATAATATAGGTTGTTTTTTTAAATTTTATTTAATTTAAAATACATAATATTAAGTAATTTTTATAATTATTTTTTAAAGTATACATCTACTTTATTTATTATTCTTTTTAAAAAAAATGATACTTCAAAATTTTAATTATTATTACGAAAATATTTATATATGATATTTAATGAAGATAAGATTAAAAAGATATCAATTTTTTTAAAAAAATTAAAATCCTAACTAATATTTTTAAAAAAAATCATAAATTAATTATTAATATTTCATATTTTGATCCACAGGAAGTATTATTTTAAATATTATTGTGGTCCGTGCTTTCGCCGTTGGGGAGAAGCACGTCAGAGAGTATTAAAATATTGGCCATTGGATACTCGCATTTATGATACGAGAAAATGTTCAACGTCATAGGCTAACGAGCACTCCTCTATTACCTTTTTCCCACGCAAAATAACCGAGCAATCAAGGACCACGTCGGATAAATTGTTTTTTGGCTGCTTCCAGTTCCCACCACTCAACTCCTTCCACGTGTCATTTTGGCGGTTCTTGTCATTCTGCTCTCTCACTCAGCATCCTTATGCCCGCGACTGAGTCCCTATTTCTCAACGCACCCGCCTTCCGCTCACACTCAACTCAAGTCCTCTTCTCAAATCCCAATACTCTCTCTTCTTCTTCTCAACTCGATTCTCCTCCCAATCACGTCGGATCGAAGCTAACAAGAAATACAAGAGAGATATTTGCAATGGAACGGTATGAGATTATTAAAGATATTGGGTCTGGAAATTTCGGTGTTGCCAAGCTGGTCAGAGAGAAACGAACCGGCGAGTTCTTCGCCGTCAAGTTCATTGAGAGAGGCTGCAAGGTTCTTCGTTTTCTCTCTTTTAATTTCTCCATTTTCTCGTCTTATTGAATTTCCTTAATACTCGGATCCTTCATTCTCCTTCTTCTTACCTTCTTCCCCATCCCTATGATTCTGCAGATTGACGAGCATGTACAAAGGGAGATCACAAACCATAGATCCTTGAAACATCCTAATATCATTCGATTTAAGGAGGTATGAGCCATTTCCGATCTCAACTATTAAACTCTGAAACACGAGTTTATATTCCTTCTCCGTACTTGATGGAATGGCTCTTCGTTGCGCAGGTTTTGCTGACTCCAACTCATTTAGCCATAGTCATGGAATATGCTGCTGGGGGAGAACTTTTTGAAAGAATATGTAATGCGGGAAGATTCAGTGAGGACGAGGTAGTTTAATTTTAGTTAATTAAAATTATAATAATTGATAATTGATGACCCAAACCTTCAATCACTCTACTTGATAGTGCTTTTTTCAAACAACCCATTATATCTATAAATATTAGTCAACTGATTTTTTATTCGCAAACAAGTTTAAAAAACCTGCACACAGAATCACACCAACTTATCATAGTCTCTGTTATATTGCACGGACACACACAAGTGTGTTTGTGTGTGTACATGGACATCTCAGTATCGTTTACTTTTCGCTCTACACAGGCAAGATACTTCTTTCAACAATTGATCTCTGGCGTGAGCTATTGCCATTCCATGGTACTTCTCTTGTTGTAATAATTCTCATGATTGGCGTGTAGAGTTTTTCTGTATTGAAAAATCCATTTGCTTCAGGAAATCTGTCACAGAGATCTCAAGCTTGAAAATACACTGTTAGATGGAAGCCCAGCACCAAGACTCAAGATATGTGACTTCGGTTACTCAAAGGCAAGGATTAATTTACTTATTTCATCTCTTAATCTTATCGATGAGACTCAATTATTAAGTTTTGTTCTGTCACAATCTTGTTTCTTTATGCAGTCTTCTGTTCTGCACTCTCAGCCTAAATCTACAGTTGGCACACCTGCATATATTGCCCCAGAAGTATTGTCAAGAAAGGAATACGATGGAAAGGTAATTTACTTATTTTACATCAAAATTTTGTTTCTTTTTCTGTTAATTTTAATCCAAAAGGACGATTCTGATAATCCCATTGAAACATCAAACTTGGAATCTTGTGATTAGTGGCCAAATGTAACTGATGAACACATTATTCTTATCCATTGAGAATAATTAGGTTGCGGATGTTTGGTCTTGTGGGGTGACTTTATATGTGATGCTTGTTGGTGCTTATCCTTTTGAAGATCCAGAAGACCCAAGAAACTTCAGAAAAACACTTCAGGTAAGTAATTAATTAGTTGTGCTACCAAACACGTCCTTTAACAAACTCTTATCATGATTAGTTTGGCCATTTAATTTGGTTGGACTTTTCCAAGTGTATTATTATTCTTAATCACTCATGTATTGTTGTTGTCTGCAATTGGTGTTCTGGTGATATTTTTGACAGAGAATCCTTAGCGTCCACTATTCTATTCCAAATTACGTTCGTGTCTCCCAAGAATGCCGACACCTTTTATCCAGAATATTTGTGGCCAACCCTGAAAAGGTAAACATTAATTCATGCATTTAGCGTCAGCACTTTTTTTTTTTAAATATAATCTTTGGTAGAATTGAGAATATAGATGAACTCGGATCATATAAAAAAAAAAATTTCATATTGAGTTTCACTCATTTTTATGTGAGTTAAAAAAATTTTAATCCAATCCAACCGTTTAGAGTTAATGAGTTAACTAGGCTAACCTACCAATTCATTTTATTTTATTTTTATAAATTAAAAAAATACACATAAATGAAAATGATGATAAGTTCCAATATAATATTACTTCATTATTTTTTAATTTGTATAAAATATATGAATTGAACTAGTCAAGCCTTACCCATCAATTTATCAAAAGTCATGAATCGACCACAATGCCACACCTTTTTTTTTATTTTTTTTTGAAAAATAATATGAGTTAAATAGGTCAAATCTAACCGACAGGGTTAATTTTTTTAATCTAATCCAACCCTTAATTATGACCGGTTATTTGGACTAATCTATGTAACTCAACCCATACCCTGACTCTAGTATTTGGTGATATCATTCCTAGCACTTTCACCAGGCTTAATGAACAGAGTAATGAATTTCCATATGCTTGTTTTCTTAATTTTTTCAGTTAGGTATGAATACTTCAAAATATTATTTTATTTTGCTTCCTTTTATTTTAAACAAAATAAAATGTAGAATGAGAGATGTTCTATATCTGTCAACATGAAAAATAACATTTAAATTTTAAGCATTTATATTATATCTAATTTTTTGGAAAAAGATTAGATATATTATTATTTAAAAAAGAAAATGGACTCAATTTTAAATAAAACGACAGAACCAGCAGACATTGGTGTTAATAAAAAGGCTATGATTGTTTAAACATGAGTCTCACGTTTGAATTCTCATGAATGCAGAAAGCCTTTTGAAAGAATTACCCCTGTATGTTAATGTTAGATGGTCATGTAAAAAAAGTACAACAATAGAATTATTTTATTTTATGTTTGAATTAGAAGGACATGCATTAATGGTTTGAGGTTATAAGCGGATTAAAAACACAACCTCCGCTTTACGGAAGAGCTTACATGCTGTTAGACTATAAGATTATTGGCTTAATTATTTTATATATTCGATGTATAGCAGCTGAGAACACATTACGCGCAGGTATCGTAAAGAAAGTCTCAGTCCTAAGTTAATATACATCTTGTCAAAACGATGTAGTGTGTTGTCATTAACTTAGAAGTTTGTATTTGTGTGTGTGACGCATGTGCAGAGAATAACGATCCCAGAAATAAAAAAACATCCATGGTTTGTGTATAACTTGCCAATAGAGTTCATGAACGAAGAAGGGGATAGTGGTGACGAGAGGAACATGGAAGCATGTCAGAGCTTAGAAGAAATACTGTCAATAATTCAAGAGGCTAGAAAAGCAGCAGATAATGGTCCTAATAAAGTTGGAGACCACTTTGTTGATGGAAGCATGGATCTTGATGATATCGACGCCGATGCTGACATTGATGATGTTGACACCAGCGGTGATTTTGTCTGTGCCTTGTAGTAGCCGTAGTAGTGCTTTCTTAACTTAGCTTCGCGTCATCATCGTGTGCCTCTCTCTTCACTCAATGGATACTTTGTTATTGTAATAATACACTGCCATATAATATTTGATCTTTCATATTTTAGCATGGAAAATATGAGAATTTATCTTTATAGTTTTAACTTGTTTTTATATAAATTTTTATAATTTTTTTATTCTTCCAAGTCCTTTTAGTTTATCTCATCTACAATATTAATATTTTTATTTTTGAATGTGTCTAAAAGAATGATGAAATGACACTAACAATGTTAAAGTGTGAGTAATGTCATTAACATATGCACCCTGAAATTGTGATTTCATATATTAATAGTGTTGTCTACTCTGTTCCTTTTCAGATTTCAATCTGTTGAAGTATAATTCTAGATCAGCACAAAAGATTCATGGTGTTAGTCTTCAACATTTTTAATATTATTAGTACTATTTCATTGTCTTTCCAGCATATTAAAAAAATAAAAGGATAATATTATAGATAAGATAAATTAGAGGGACTTGGAACAATAAAAAAACCTATAAAAACATATATCAAAACATGTTAAAACTATAGAGATCAATATTTATATTTTCCTTTTTAGTATTAGTAAGTTACAGTAAAAGTATAAATTAATCTTCAAAAGTTAGCTTTGGTAGCGCACAACTATATATTGTAGAGTCATAATGAAAATAAACAGAGCTATATTCGTTCTAGGGCTTGTTTGATTGTGTTTTTTTGTGTTCTTAAAACAATTTTATAGGATAATTTTTAGAAATAAAAATGAAAAAAATTGTTTGGATCATTATTAAAAAAACATATTTAAAATGGTGAAATAAAAGTAAAAAATGTTTTTTTTATTTTTCAAAACAATTTTGTTTTGAAAATAGGATATCAACCAAGCTTCTCCTTTGCCTGAAATTTGTTTGATAGAGAAAGGTTTGATATGAGATCAACATGTAATTACTCCGGCTTTACATTTAAGTCGTTTTTAACAAACTTAGTGAAATTAATGAGTCATAGTTAAATTGTAGATATTGTTTGAAAAACATAGAAAATTTTAATTTATCTTTGTTAAATACATCATCATTAAAAATAATTTTTTTTTCACATATGTAACATTTTACTATATAATCATAATGATTATTTTTTATGTAAAGTAAGTTATAAAAAAAGTCATCAATTTCTATCATAACGTGACTTAGATATAGGATTAGAGGGAATATAATACACCAAGTAATTGTTAAAATTAAACCCATTTGGTGAACAATTAAAAGAAGTGACCAGGCTAGATTTTGAACAGTATAAAATTGGAAAAACATCATCTAAAGATCTTGTTAGTTTTTTTAATAAGGGTTAAATGGCAAGCTTGTCTTGAAACTTTTTTTTTCAGAGACACTTGACATCCTAAACTTTTTTATGGAGCCTTTTTGCACCACCATTAAATATAAAAAAATGTTGACTATTAAACTAAAGTTTGACCAAAAGTTAAATGGTATATTTGTTTTGAAATTTTTTCTCTAAGAGTGTTGGGTATCCTGAACTTTTGTTTGAAACTTATTTGCCCTAAAAGTTTCAAAAGGAGAGCAATTTTGCCATGCCATCAGTATTGATCGTTAGTTTGACTTTAATTGCCATTTGTAGCCATACAGTATTTTAAAAAAAAAATAAAAAAAATCCACCTAGATAGAAAAAAACACCTCCATTAGCTTTAATAATAGCAGCAAGAACAATTCCGTAAAAAGCAAGCAAGAACAACAACATGTAGTTCCAAATCATCCAAACCCATACCTATACCCAAAAATGATCAACTATTTGTTGAGTCAATTCAAATGAACTTAGCCATATGAAAGCTTTCTTCTTCTATATTTGACAATTCCACAATCTTACTCAACTATGATGACTCTGCGGACTTCAACTTTGACTTAGACGCTTTTGAGAGCTTCATAGCATCAAACTTGACCACAACAACAGTAGCAAAAGCAGCAGCATGTTATGTGAGGAGCACATGGCAAGTTAAGGGAGAATTATGGCAATCTAGAGAAAGTTAAGAATGGATTTGCCTTTGATAGATAGAGCGGTGATGTTGTAGGCTTAAGCAGTCATTTCCACAGGCTGAAAGTGCTGAGCCAAATGCAAGATTTCTTGCGAGGCTTGCAAATTTCGAACACCCATTTTTTTTTTTAACTTCACATTTGGACTCAAATTTATGGTAGTGTGAGAGTAACTGGTAGAAGAGGAGGAGGAAAAGGAAGAAGAAGAGGATGATAAAGAAGACGGGAAGACAAAATTGTTCCATTTTTAAAAGTTTTGATGTAAATAAGCTCCAAATAAAAGTTTAGGATACCCAAATCCCTTGGGAAAAAAGTTCTAAAGCAAATATGCCATTTAATTTTTTGTCAAATTTTAATTTAATGGTCAACATTTTTTATATTTAACGGTAGGGCAAAAATGTTTTCTTTTTAAAAAGTTTAGGGCAAAATGCTTTAAAAAAATGTTTAGGTTGTCAGGCATTGCGCTTCTAAAGAAAAAGTTTCTGGACAAATTTGCCATTTAACCCTTTTAATAATAAAGAAAGACATTATAATTCTAAAAAATTACTGCCTTCCTGGGACATAATTGAAAATGAAATTTAGGGAGAAAAGACCTAGTCAACCCTGTTAAGTGAACATGAAACATGGTTGAACAAATGTCCACTTGATATGAACTTATAATTGCTTATTACTACTTGAATGGTTATTTGTTTATTCATGATCAATACTTATACAATTAAACTTGTTCTATCTATTTTTCTAAGTTGTTTATTAACTAGATGGGGTAAGTAATAATTGTACAAGTATTAATTCCAAATAAATAAGCAATCTTTTGGATATTAACAAGTAATTATACATTAGTAACCAACAGATATTCATTCAGCTATGTTTTTTGTAGTAATATGATCTTGCCCCCTAAATTTTATTTTCAGTTAGATCCTAAGAAAGTGCGGCAATATTTCAGAATTATAGGATCATTCTTTGCTATTAAAAAGTTATAGGGATCCTTATGTGATATTTTTCCCCATAAAGTTTTTTTTTTAATAAAAAGACACAATCAAGACCGTGCTAGGATTACAAAATTTAAGACATATCAGAGTCCAAGATGTTTTTACATCCTATAGTCAGATCATTATAAATAGAGAGGTCATAGTTATCATGTAAAGTTCTCAGCGTGAGCAAATTAATACATTTATTTACTTCTTTAAAAACATGATCAAAAATAATCATCTAATTTTTTATAATAAGCTCTCTTATTTTTTTGGCGGTGATGCTTCCATAAAGTTATCACCAAAGACATTTTGGTGGTGATGCTCTGCAGAACAGTTCTTTTTTGGGAGAAAAAAGCACTTTAAGATAAGTTCTTTTTTTTTGAAGAGGTTGGCATAAAAAGCTAATGATCCATTCATTGGGTCGAGGATTAGAACTTCAGATTTTGCTTTCCGGATTGTGATTGGAAGTTGCTTGTCTTGGTTTCGGCATAAAGTAGTGGGGATTGGGTGGCATCGCTTTCGTTTCCCAGAATTCTGATTTATATGCATGGACGTCTTCTACTTGCTTTAATGTGTTTTTGGATTTTAGGTTATCAGAAGTTGATTTCTTAACAATTTATTTGACAAAAGTGAATTTTTTTTAGAAAAATAATGTTAAAATCCCACATAAAAGAATTCATTACTTTAAGATCTATTAATAAGTGAGTTTAATAAGTGAGTTAAGGTCATTTTTTCTTGTATAGGACCTATATATAATTCTTTTTTTTTATTTCCTCGTATATTCTTAGCCAACAGTTTTGAGACTAATATTTTATTAAATTTGAGTTTTATTTAACCCTTAAATAGTGTATGTTTAAGTTTTTTAAAAGATTAATTGCAATTTCAGGTTGTTAGATACGTCGAACAAAAAAAAAATTGAAAGTTAGTTATTCATAACAAGATTTGTGTTTATATATATTTTTTCAAAAATTAATTTAATAAATTGAAAGTTATTTAGATGATGTATAATGAAATATATTTTTAAAGATATAATTACTAAAAAAAGACATGGATCTTATGGTATGTAATTTTTATTATGTAAAACTTGATTTGTCAAAAAATATATAAATAATATAAAATTTGATGTGATAAATAATATATATAATAAAATAATGTATAATTAATATAAAATTTAAATTATAACAAGATCAAAATTTATTGTGAAATAACAAGATTACATTTATAATATATCAATGATTAAAAACCTCTACAATCATACTTTTTTTTAAAAAATATAAGTCTTATGTTAATAAGAAGGTGGACTAGAAGAAAGTTTCTGTTCAATGGTGGGAACAAAATATAATTAGCTGCAAGATGGGTAATACGGATAGTTAATGAATTAATATCACTCATTACACAAACTAAAAATGTAAAAGCTACCTCCAGCAGCGTTGGATGAAAGTACTTTGGCTTCATATGTTATTTGTTTTTTAATTAATAAAAAAATCCAAATCCTATGCTTGAATTTTATTAATTTTTTAATTTAAAATTGTTAACATGTCCTTATAAAAAGAAATGGATGAAATGATATTTTAATCATGTTTTTTTTTTTGGTAACCTGAATTTTAAGCATGTTCGACAGGCTAATAATTATAAGAGGCAATATGTGCGTAAGAAAAATAATTCATCTCAAATGCTTGTTTGGTGCTTTTTTTTTTTTTTTTAACCCCCTGATGTTAAATGAACATACGCTATTTCTTTGCCCTTGACAATATATGTTTAGTTTGGGAGTGAATTTTTCTTCAAATTAATCATTCTTTGCCTTTATGTCTGAATGGCCTTAAAGAAATCAATGAAACTGGCTGTAGACTTGGGGTATGAAAAAATTATTTTCCAAAATGATTGTATGACCCTGGTAAATTGTGTGGGTGATTATTGACTCAAGCTTCGTGAATGGATATGTATGGGGTGTGATTTTGGATAATATGGGGACTTCATGATCTCCAATATTGAGTATTCTGTTTTTTTCACTTAAGGCAAAAGTAATAAAGCGGTTGATCACCCGATTGACACTTGTAAGAATATGTATCGTTTAAGTGGTCAGTTCCTTTATTTAACATTCTAGTAATTGATGTCATGGTTGCTGGTTT